GACCATTTCTGGCCGGCAACTTTCAGCGTCATTAAGCCGCTGCGCCACCGCATCCCCCTTTTAACACTGAATAGCAGTAAGCAATATAAGCAAATTATTTACTTATAACTAGGACAATAGAATAAAATGCAAATTTTCAACACTTTTTACTGCCTTTTTTAATAAAACTGTTATGAAGGAAAAACGCAAATGCAAAAAAATTATTGACAACTAAAGCCCAGAGTGGCAGTGGAAGAGTTAAGGGCATGACAGCTTGGGGGAAAAAAACTCTGGGGTGCACCTCCACTTCCTTTGGTGCCCTAAGTATGGGCTTATTTTGCTTAATAGTTAATGGAGGGCTGGAAAGGGGGGCAGAATCCATGGTAGCAGAACAGAACTACTTACATGAGTGAGTTGAACAGTTCCCAATATGTCCACTGCCCGATCCATATGTGGACTCTGCACACCAATGCTCCCTCATTGATGTCTGCCTTAACGTGCCTCTTTCTAAGGAACCCTCCTTAGAACTCTCCTTGATTACTTTTCTAAAATTACTGAAGCTCAGATGCTCAGAGTAATGCCATGTTTGCTCCCAGGGCCTCTATTTGAAAATGGGCGTTCATCCCTGTTGGGCCCCTTTCAGTCAAAGTTAAGTACTTTAAAATCCTAACAGTGCAATCCTATGAATGTTTACTCAGAAATAAATCTATGTCTCCTTAAACAAATTCTCAACACGACTGCAGCTTTGATCTCCCCTTCCAATCAGACAGACGTAGAGGGATTAATGTCTATTTGGATAATATTCATTTTCCATGGTATGCAGAATACCTAATAAGAGTGAAAGGAGCTGAAACCAAGCAAGAGAAACTCAACTCAGCTCGCAATTTTTACCAGAATGAAGAGCAATAGGTGACTGGATCCCAGGCACAATATTTTGTGGGTTGGCATGTCAACATTTGCCCTGCAATTTATACTAAATGGATTTTCTTGTAGTAAAATAACTAAAAATGCACCATTTAAAAATGGACAAGCATCGGTGGACACAGTTATCTCTTTTCTTTCCTTTTGGACTGAATTTGCCGCTGATTATGTTAGAAACTTGAGAGTCAGCTTGGTGTAGTGGTTAAAGGCACTAGGCTAAAAACCAGAAGATCATGGGCTCTAGTCCTGCTTTAGACACAAAGCCAGCTGGGTGATCCTGGGCCAGTCATTCTCCCTCAGCCCTAGAAAGAAGGCAAGGGCAAACCAGTTCCAAAAATGCTGCCAAGAAAACTGCAGGGACCAGCCAGATAGTTGCCAGGAGACAAGACTGGTTCAAAGTCTCTCTTACACACACACACACACACACACACCCCATTAGAAACTTAGCTGTCAATTCCAAGCACAATTAACAAGAGACCAAACTCTAATGTAGCGAGAAGGGTAAACATGCCAAAGCACAGTTGTTTGGCTTGTTGTCTTATGTTAATAAATACATAACAGAAAAGCTACAAATCACTTCTCTAGGACCTCAAAGTGATACCCTGCTTAAAACAATAATGTTTTCATTATAAAGTACAAGCACAAAATATTTTTTTTATAATAGGGGTACTAAATCTACTGTCCACAGCACTTTGGATATGGTCCCAAGGCAACTCCCAAACTTGCTACTGAACTGTAATTAAAATGTGAAGAAGGAGGAACTTATTAAATATAGAGGAGCAATCATATTAATGGAATTTAATTAATTAAACTTTAATTAATACAGTGTTTTATTTTATATATAAAATATACCCCCCCCCCCCCGGTCTTACCTACTCTGTATTGCCAAGACACAACCCAAGTATTATCCTTGGCTTGAAAGTCAGTCGGGTGCCCATACTTTACAACAACTCAAAACAATGTTAACTTCTATCTGAGGACATCAAATTCCTAACAGAAGAATCATTTTTAGGCAGCCAACTTCATCTGGGTATCCACGGCCAGAGAAAACAAACCAGTTAATGACAATTGCAGAAGAGTCAAGAGTAATTCAAAAGGTTTAATGGATTTCTTTTCATTGGTAGTAACTGTAGTCCAACCTCTAACTTCCTTACCGAACAATTCAGCCACCAAATTGTTCAAACCCAGAAGGACAAGTCAAAACCTCCTATCATCACATGCGCTTGGTACCACTTCACATTCTGTTCTGAAACACAACACAAGCTCTTTGCTTTTAAATAAGAGCTCTCCTTTAGAAGTCCGGATAGATCTGTGCTGTCCATACAACAGAGGGACAGAGTCACAGACTTTGGCAGAGAGAAGTGTTGGGAGAGTGAAGTCCCACCACTAAGAACTGAGTGGACAGAGGACACGCTGCAGAGATGGGAAGGTGCTGGTCTGGCATGATAGGTTGAACAGAAATACTCCACATGCAACTTTCTAAGCAACACTGCAAGTACCCCAGTTCATTTCAAGAACGTCATCAGTAGGGTTTGGGAAACCTGGAAGCCCTAATTTCAGCATGCTTTTATTTGAGTTCCTAATCACACATTTGTGTCACGTTACAAAGTGGCTGGGTTCAGATGGCACATTTAACAATGACAATTTGTTTTAACCAGTCTACTTCCATTCAGTTCAAGGTGCTGAGGACTACCGACAAAGCCTTGTACGGTTTGGGCCCTTCTCACTTTCAGGACCATCTTCATACAGGATCTATCCAGCCTACATGGTCTAGAAAGAAGAAATGTTGTGGGTACCCAGCCTGAAAATGAGAGCCCGTTTGGTGTATGGTTAAAGTACCAGGCTAGAAACTGGGAGATCCTGAATTCTGGTCCTGCCTTAGGCACAAAGCCAGCTGGGTGACCCTGGGCCAGTCATCTTCTCTTCTCTCAGCCCTTGGAAGAAGGAGGCAAGGGCAAACCACTTCTGAAAATGTTTCCAAGAAAACTGCAGGAGCCAATCCAGGGGATGGCCAGGAGCACAGACTGACTCAAAAGCAAAAAGCAAACAAAAACCCCACCCTGAAAGAAATGGGAGGGGGGCTGGGACCCAGAGATTGACTGTCTTAGTAGTCGCTCCCTCCCTCAGAAGAACTTGCCCCTATCCTGATGGTATTCTGAAAGATAATGAAAACAGTCCACTTTACAGGAGCGTTTGGACTCGTCCAGTGGCAGCTACGGGTTTATCTGGTTTGCAGTGGTTTTGTTTACTATGTAATGGCTTGAAGTCATCTAGAATCAGAAAAGTAGGCTGCATATATATGTTTTGGTAAATAAATAAAACTAGGACTGGTGAAGCAAGCCATAATGGCCTGATTTCACATAACATCTTATATCAGAGTTTACATGCTATGGGGTCACCCAAATTATTGGGCTAAAAAGCTCATTAAGGAAAAAGCTGAGGGAAAAAAGCTCTTCTTACTGTAAGTCTGGATTTTAATTCATTCTTAACAGCATTACCTGAGGAGGGATCCTTCAAGACAAACTGAAACTTTTTCTTAAGCTTACTGAGTGGGCCTTAATTGTCCTGCAGCTAATCTGCAATTATGCACTAAAACAATTAAGCTGTTCTCCTTACTTCTTTCAAGGAGATAAAGCAAATTGTAAAAGGCTCCCACAGCTGAGGTCTCCAGCATGTATTAAATTCAAGAGATCCATTTTTAGACTGTGGTACATCAAAGCAATTGCCGTATTGTTCTGCCTTCAGAGGTGCAGCTTAAGATGCAACTGGTGCGATTAAGGATATGATGGTTGACCTAAATGTAATAATACTCACAAAGAATATATGCTATCCACTTAGGAAACCAAACTAAAACTAAAGGGAAAAAGAAAAAAGAGGGCCCTTCACCCAGCTCTTGGAGAACATTTTAGAAGTAGAAACCATTTGTGGGAGAACGGGCAAAGGGAAGGGAGTTAATCCTAACCTTAGGAAGGTAATTGCAGCAGTTCCAATTAATTATATTTTGCATTAATTGCTGAGCTCCCATTCTTGTCATGTCAGGGGAGAATCGTTTTTTAGGGCCAATAGGCACAATTGCAGCACTGAATGCTTGGCATGAGCGTTCTCACAAAATGTTTGCCAGGCTGATTATGAACAGCCCCAAAATATCCAAACTGAGGAACTGCCCCCTCCTTGAAATCCCCCCAAGTTACATGCTGCCATTCAGGCTTATTTTTGTGGGCTTTTTGTGGGCAACTGGCCCTCTTCCAAATACAGCCAATGTACAGTCAAATAACTGCAGATTTTCAATGGAAAAGGTATTAAAGTTACTGCATTTAGCTTCTGACAGGCTTAACATATCTATATTAAAAAAAAAAAACTAAAAAATGGGGGGAATAGGCCCAAAATCTCACCCCCACCACTGACATCATAGTAGCACCACACTGTGCCCCATGGCATTCAATAGGTATCATCATAATCATGAGCGTTACTGGCTAACGTGCTTCAGACCTGAATATCAACTCACCAATATCTGGCTCCATGGGAGGTTTGGCTCTCTCAGTGCGAGTTCTGTTGTCTTTCAGAAGATTGATCCATTTCCTAGCTAAAGAGTCTCCTACAGATACAGAATC